ACCACACGCGCACCCAGTGCGTCACGTGATCCCACATCCCATCCCATCCCATCCCATCCCATCCCATCCCATCCATCCCATCCCATCCCATCCCATCCCATCCATCCCATCCCATCCCATCCATCCCATCCCATCCCATACCATCCATCGCAGCCCATCATCCATCCCATCCCATCCCCATCTGATCCATCCCATCCCATCCATCCCATCCATCCCATCCCATCCATCCCATCCCATCCCATCCATCCCATCCCCGTCCCATCCCATCCCCATCCCATCCCATCCAATCCATCCCATCCCATCCCATCCATCCCATCCCATCCATCCATCCCATCCATCCCATCCATCCCATCCATCCATCCATCCATCCCATCCATCCTTGTGTCCATCCATCCCATCCATCCTTGTGTCCATCCATCCCATCCATCCCATCCATCCTTGTGTCCATCCATCCCATCCATCCCATCCATCCATCCATCCATCCATCCATCCCATCCATCCATCCATCCCATCCCATCCCATTCCCATCTGATCCATCCCATCCCATCCCATTTAATCCATCCCATCCCATTACATTCCATCTGATCCATCCCATCCCATCCCATTCCCATCCCATCCATCCCATCCCATCCATCCAGCGCGGCGGAGCAGGCGCAGCCCCCCCAGGCTCTCCTTGGCTGCCAATGGGAGAGCAGCGCGGCGGCACGTGACCACACACCACCCAGTGCGTCACGTGATCCCACATCCCATCCATCCCATCCCATCCCATCCATCCCATCCATCCCATCCCATCCATCCCATCCCATCCATCCCATCCCATCCCATCCCATCCCATCCCATCCCATCCATCCCATCCCATCCCATCCATCCCATCCATCCCATCCATCCCATCCCATCCCATCCCATCCATCCCATCCATCCCATCCCATCCATCCCATCCCATCCCATCCCATCCCATCCATCCCATCCCCATCCCATCCCATCCCATCCCATCCCATCCCATCCATCCCATCCCATCCATCCCATCCCATCCATCCCATCCATCCCATCCCATCCCATCCCATCCATCCCATCCCACCTTCAGGCAGGTACATGTACACCAGCAGGTTCTGATCCCGGTCGGACACTGGGGACAAAACCAGGATTCACCGGTGCCCCCCCGATCCGTGGGGATGCAGGGATGGGGCTGGACCCCCCCACACCCCAACCTCTGCCCCCCAAGTGGTACCCAGGAAGCCGAGCTGGGAGCTGTCCACCATGAAGTCCACGCTGTAGACCTCGAGGGGCTTCGCGTCCTATGGGGCGAGGGGGGGGGTGGTCAGTGGGGGCATGGGAATGGGGTGGGGGGGTGGACACGGTGGGGGGGGGGAGGGAGAAGGGGATGGGGTTGAGGAGGGAGGATCAAGGTGGAGATGGTGGAGATGGAGATGATGGAGATGGAGATGGTGGAGATGGAGATGGTGGAGATGGAGATGGTGGAGATGGAGATGATGGAGATGGAGATGGTGGAGATGGTGGAGATGGAGATGGTGGAGATGGAGATGGTGGAGATGGAGATGGTGGAGATGGTGGAGATGGAGATGGTGGAGATGGAGATGGTGGAGATGGAGATGGTGGAGATGGTGGAGATGGAGATGGTGGAGATGGAGATGGTGGAGATGGAGATGATGGAGATGGAGATGATGGAGATGGAGATGGAGATGGTGGAGATGGAGATGGTGGAGATGGAGATGGTGGAGATGGAGATGGTGGAGATGGAGATGGTGGAGATGGAGATGGTGGAGATGGAGATGGTGGAGATGGAGATGGTGGAGATGGAGATGATGGAGATGGAGATGGTGGAGATGGAGATGATGGAGATGGAGATGATGGAGATGGAGATGGTGGAGATGGAGATGATGGAGATGGAGATGGAGGAGATGGAGATGATGGAGATGGAGATGGTGGAGATGGAGATGGTGGAGATGGAGATGATGGAGATGGTGGAGATGGAGATGGTGGAGATGGAGATGATGGAGATGGAGATGGAAATGGAGATGGTGGAGATGGTGGAGATGGAGATGGAGATGGTGGAGATGGAGATGATGGAGATGGTGGAGATGGAGATGGAGATGGAGATGGTGGAGATGGAGATGGTGGAGATGGAGATGGAGATGGTGGAGATGGAGATGGTGGAGATGGAGATGGTGGAGATGGAGATGGTGGAGATGGAGATGGTGACGATGGAGATGGTGGAGATGGAGATGATGGAGATGGTGGAGATGGAGATGGTGGAGATGGAGATGATGGAGATGGAGATGGAAATGGAGATGGTGGAGATGGTGGAGATGGAGATGGAGATGGTGGAGATGGAGATGATGGAGATGGAGATGATGGAGATGGAGATGGTGGAGATGGAGATGGTGACGATGGAGATGGTGGAGATGGAGATGGTGGAGATGGAGATGGTGGAGATGGAGATGATGGAGATGGAGATGGAGGAGATGGAGATGGTGGAGATGGAGATGATGGAGATGGAGATGGAGATGATGGAGATGGAGATGATGGAGATGGAGATGATGGAGATGGAGAGGGTGGAGATGGAGATGGAGATGGTGGAGATGGAGATGATGGAGATGGAGATGATGGAGATGGAGATGGTGGAGATGGAGATGGTGGAGATGGAGATGGTGGAGATGGAGATGATGGAGATGGAGATGGTGGAGATGGAGATGGAGGAGATGGAGATGGAGGAGATGGAGATGGTGGAGATGGAGATGGTGGAGATGGAGATGGTGGAGATGGAGATGATGGAGATGGTGGAGATGGAGATGATGGAGATGGAGATGGTGGAGATGGAGATGGTGGAGATGGAGATGGTGGAGATGGAGATGGTGGAGATGGAGATGATGGAGATGGTGGAGATGGAGATGATGGAGATGGAGATGGTGGAGATGGAGATGGTGGAGATGGAGATGGAGATGATGGAGATGGTGGAGATGGAGATGATGGAGATGGAGATGGTGGAGATGGAGATGGAGATGATGGAGATGGTGGAGATGGAGATGATGGAGATGGAGATGGTGGAGATGGAGATGGTGGAGATGGAGATGGAGATGGTGGAGATGGAGATGGTGGAGATGGAGATGATGGAGATGGAGATGGTGGAGATGGAGATGGTGGAGATGGAGATGGAGATGGTGGAGATGGAGATGATGGAGATGGAGATGGTGGAGATGGAGATGGTGGAGATGGAGATGGAGATGATGGAGATGGAGATGGTGGAGATGGAGATGATGGAGATGGAGATGGTGGAGATGGAGATGGTGGAGATGGAGAGGGTGGAGATGGAGATGGTGGAGATGGAGATGATGGAGATGGTGGAGATGGAGATGATGGAGATGGAGATGGTGGAGATGGAGATGGTGGAGATGGAGATGATGGAGATGGAGATGGTGGAGATGGAGATGGTGGAGATGGAGATGGTGGAGATGGAGATGATGGAGATGGAGATGGTGGAGATGGAGATGGAGGAGATGGAGATGGAGGAGATGGAGATGGTGGAGATGGAGATGGTGGAGATGGAGATGGTGGAGATGGAGATGATGGAGATGGTGGAGATGGAGATGATGGAGATGGAGATGGTGGAGATGGAGATGGTGGAGATGGAGATGGTGGAGATGGAGATGGTGGAGATGGAGATGATGGAGATGGTGGAGATGGAGATGGTGGAGATGGAGATGGTGGAGATGGAGATGGTGGAGATGGAGATGATGGAGATGGAGATGGTGGAGATGAAGAGGGTGGAGATGGAGATGGTGGAGATGGAGATGGTGGAGATGGAGATGATGGAGATGAAGATGATGGAGATGGAGATGGTGGAGATGGAGATGATGGAGATGTTGGAGATGAAGATGGAGAAGATGAAGATGGAGATGATGAAGATGAGATTGATGGAGATGATGCCAATGAAGATGAGGATGATGGAGATGCAGAAGATGAAGATGATGGAGATGGAGATGATGAAGATGGACACAATGGAAATGAGTGATATTATGCCGATGAAGATGAGGTTGATGAAGGTGGAGATGATGGAGACGATGGAGATGGAAAAGATGAGGTTGGAGAAGATGAGGAGGATGACAACAGACCCAATGGAGGGGAAGAAGACGGAGAAGGTAAAGGGGATGAGGATGGGGATGAAGAGGATCAAGACGGAGATGGAGACAATGGAGAGGGAGAGGATGGAGATGGAGAGGATGCCGATGAAGATGAGGATTATGAAGATGGAGATGATGGAGATGAAGATGGAGACAATGGAGACGGAGATGATGCCAATGAAGATGGAGAAGATGATGAAGATGGAGACGATGGAGATGATGCCAATGAAGATGATGCCGATGAAGATGAGGATGATGAAGATAGAGAAGATGCAGACAATGGAGATGATGAGGATGGAGAAGATGAGGATGGTGATGGACACGATGAAGGGGATGGAGATGGAGAAGGGAAAGGGGGTGAGGAGGGGGATGAAGAGGATCAACATGGAGACGATGGAGATGGAGACAATGGAAGTGAAGAAGACAAAGATGGAGAAGATGAAGATGATGAAGATGGAGACGATGGAGATGATGCCGATGAAGATGACGCCAATGAAGATGACACCGATGAAGAGGACACCAATGAAGATGACGCCAATGAAGATGACGCCGATGAAGATGAGGATGATGAAGATGACACCAATGAAGATGATGCCGATGAAGATGAGGATGATGAAGATGACACCAATGAAGATGAGGATGATGAAGATGACACCAATGAAGATGACGCCGATGAAGATGAGGATGATGAAGATGACACCAATGAAGATGACACCAATGAAGATGATGATGAAGATGACGCCAATGAAGATGACGCCGATGAAGATGACACCAATGAAGATGACACCAATGAAGATGACAATGAAGATGACACCGATGAAGAGGACACCAATGAAGATGATGCCAATGAAGATGACGCCAATGAAGATGACGCCAATGAAGATGAGGATGATGAAGATGACGCCAATGAAGATGACGCCGATGAAGATGAGGATGATGAAGATGACACCAATGAAGATGACGCCGATGAAGATGAGGATGATGAAGATGACACCAATGAAGATGACACCAATAATGATGATGATGAAGATGACGCCAATGAAGATGACGCCGATGAAGATGACACCAATGAAGATGACACCAATGAAGATGACAATGAAGATGACGCCAATGGACACCAATGAAGATGACGCTGATGAAGATGACGCCAATGAAGATGGGGATTATGATGATGACACCAATGAAGATGACACCAATGAAGACAACACCGATGAAGACGACACCAATGAAGATGACACCAATAACGATGAGGATGATGAAGATGACACCAATGAAGATGACGCCAATGAAGATGACACCAATGAAGATGACAATGAAGATGACGCCAATGAAGATGACACCAATGAAGATGACAATGAAGATGACGCCAATGAAGATGAGGATGATGAAGATGACGCCAATGAAGATGAGGATGATGAAGATGACGCCAATGAAGATGATGCCAATGAAGATGATGCCAATGAAGATGACGCCAATAAAGATGAGGATGATGAAGATGACGCCAATGAAGATGACACCAATGAAGATGACACCAATAAAGATGAGGATGATGATGATGACACCAATGAAGATGATGCCAATGAAGATGAGGATGATGAAGATGACACCAATGAAGATGACGCTGATGAAGATGACACCAACAATGACGATGATGAAGATGACACCAATAAAGATGAGGATGACGAAGATGACGCCAATGAAGATGACACCAATGAAGATGATGCCGATGAAGATGAGGATGATGAAGATGACACCAATGAAGACGACGCCGATGAAGATGACACCAACAACGATGACAATGATGAAGATGACACCAACAACGATGACAATGATGAAGATGACACCAACGATGACGATGATGAAGATGACACCAACGATGACGCCGATGAAGATGACACCAACAACGATGAGGATGATGAAGATGACACCAATGAAGATGACGCCAATGAAGATGACACCAATGAAGATGACACCAATAACGATGACACCAATGAAGACGTCAATGAACATGACAATGATGAAGATGACACCAATAAAGATGAGGATGATGAAGATGACACCAATGAAGATGACACCAATGAAGACGACGCCAATGAAGATGACACCAACAACGATGACAATGATGAAGATGACACCAACGACGACGATGACGAAGATGACACCAACGATGACAATGATGAAGATGACACCAACAACGACGACGATGACGAAGATGACACCAATAAAGATGACGCCGATGAAGATGACGCCCATGAAGAGGCCAAGGCCGGCTCTGCCCCCCACCGCCCCCCGTGCCCCACACCGCCCCGCACCCGGCTGACGAGGGACAGGGTCTTGCTCTCCTCCTGGTAGCGCAGCAGGGAGATGCTCTTCATGAGGTCGGCGGCCAGGATGAAGTTCTTGACGCTGATCATGCGGTGGATGTAGAGCTGCGTGTCGATGAAGGCCATGCCCGTCAGGTCGTGGTCCTTCAGGCTCCACAGGAAGATCTGGGGCGGGCGGGGGGGGAATAGGGGGAGAGGGGGCTCAGAACAAAGTTGAGGTCCTCAACCCAACCATGAGCTCCTCAACCCAACCTTGAGCTCCTCAACCCAACCTTGAGCTCCTCAACCCAACCTTGAGCTCCTCAACCCAACCTTGAGCTCCTCAACCCAACCTTGAGGTCCTCAACCCAACTTTGAGCTCCTCAACCCAACCTTGAGCTCCTCAACCCAACCTTGAGGTCCTCAACACAACCTTGAGGTACTCGACCCAACCTTGAGCTCCTCGACCCAACCATGAGCTCCTCAACCCAACCTTGAGCTCCTCAACCCAACCTTGAGCTCCTCAACCCAACCTTGAGCTCCTCAACCCACCCCTGAGCTCCTCAACCCAACCTTGAGCTCCTCGACCCAACCTTGAGCTCCTCAACCCAACCTTGAGCTCCTCAACCCAACCTTGAGCTCCTCAACCCAACCTTGAGCTCCTCGACCCAACCTTGAGCTCCTCGACCCAACCTTGAGCTCCTCAACCCAACCTTGAGCTCCTTGACCCAACTTTGAGCTCCTCGACCCAACCTTGAGCTCTTCGACCCAACTTTGAGCTCCTCAACCCAACCTTGAGCTCAACCCAACCTTGAGCTCCTCAACCCAACCATGACGTCCTCAACCCAACCTTGAGGTCCTCAACCCAACCTTGAGCTCCTCAACCCAACCCTGAGCTCCTCAACCCAACCTTGAGGTCCTCAACCCAACCTTGAGGTCCTCAACCCAACCTTGAGCTCCTCAACCCAACCTTGAGCTCCTCAACCCAACCTTGAGGTCCTCAACCCAACCTTGAGCTCCTCGACCCAACCCTGAGCTCCTCAACCCAACCTTGAGCTCCTCAACCCAACCTTGAGCTCCTCGACCCAACCTTGAGCTCCTCGACCCAACCTTGAGGTCCTCAACCCAACCTTGAGCTCCTCAACCCAACCTTGAGCTCCTCGACCCAACCTTGAGCTCCTCAACCCAACCTTGAGCTCCTCAACCCAACCTTGAGCTCCTCAACCCAACCTTGAGCTCCTCAACCCAACCTTGAGCTCCTCAACCCAACCTTGAGCTCCTCGACCCAACCTTGAGCTCAACCCAACCTTGAGCTCCTCGACCCAACCTTGAGCTCCTCGACCCAACCTTGAGGTCCTCAACCCAACCTTGAGCTCCTCAACCCAACCTTGAGCTCCTCGACCCAACCTTGAGCTCCTCAACCCAACCTTGAGCTCCTCAACCCAACCTTGAGCTCCTCAACCCAACCTTGAGCTCCTCGACCCAACCTTGAGCTCAACCCAACCTTGAGCTCCTCGACCCAACCTTGAGCTCCTCGACCCAACCTTGAGGTCCTCAACCCAACCTTGAGCTCCTCGACCCAACCTTGAGCTCCTCGACCCAACCTTGAGCTCCTCAACCCAACCTTGAGCTCCTCAAAGCCCCATCCCAGCCCCACCTTCTGCCCCATAGCGGCCCCACCTTCTGCCCTATAGCGGACACCAGGTCCCCCAGCCCCACCTTCTGCCCTATAGCGGCCCCACCTTCTGCCCTATAGCGGACACCAGGTCCCCCAGCCCCACCTTCTGCCCTATAGCGGACACCAGGTCCCCCAGCCCCACCTTCTGCCCTATAGCGGACACCAGGCACCCCAGCCCCACCTTCTGCCCTATAGCGGACACCAGGTCCCCCAGCCCCACCTTCTGCCCCATAGCGGACACCAGGCACCCCAGCCCCACCTTCTGCCCCATAGCGGCCCCACCTTCTGCCCTATAGCGGACACCAGGTCCCCCAGCCCCACCTTCTGCCCTATAGCGGACACCAGGTCCCCCAGCCCCACCTTCTGCCCTATAGCGGACACCAGGTCCCCCAGCCCCACCTTCTGCCCCATAGCGGCCCCACCTTCTGCCCTATAGCGGACACCGGGCACCCCAGCCCCACCTTCTGCCCTATAGCGGACACCAGGCACCCCAGCCCCACCTTCTGCCCCATAGCGGCCCCACCTTGTGCCCTATAGTGGACACCAGGCACCCCAGCCCCACCTTCTGCCCTATAGCGCACACCAGGTCCCCCAGCCCCACCTTCTGCCCTATAGCGGCCCCACCTTCTGCCCTATAGCGGACACCAGGCACCCCAGCCCCACCTTCTGCCCTATAGCGGACACCAGGTCCCCCAGCCCCACCTTCTGCCCTATAGCGGACACCAGGTCCCCCAGCCCCACCTTCTGCCCTATAGCGGACACCAGGTCCCCCAGCCCCACCTTCTGCCCTATAGCGGACACCAGGTACCCCGCGCAGTGGCACAGCGCCGTCACGGGTCCCTTCTGCTCCTTCTCGTAGAGGACCTTGAACTTGTTCTTGGTCAGGGGCAGCCCCGGCTCCGGCACCACCTCGATGATGTCCAGGATCAGGATCTGCACCCAGAGCACCCAATGGGTGAGCACCCACAGGGGCACCCACAGCACCCATCAACCACCGCCCACAGCACCCATGGGTGAGCAACCACAGCACCCATGGGGTGAGCACCCACAGGGGCACCCAAAGCCCCACAGCACCCATGGGTGAGCAACCACAGCACCCATGGGTGAGCACCCAGAGGGGCACCCACAGCACCCATCAACCACCGCCCACAGCACCCATGGGTGAGCACCCACAGGGGCACCCACAGCACCCATGGGGTGAGCACCCACAGCACCCATGGGTGAGCACCCAGAGAGGTACCCACACCACCCAATGGGGTGAGCACCCACAGCACCCATGGGTGAGCACCCAGAGGGGCACCCAGAGCACCCATCAACCACCCCCCATAGCACCCATGGGTGAGCACCCAGAGCACCCATCAACCACCACCCACAGCACCCATGGGTGAGCAACCACAGCACCCATAGGGTGAGCACCGAGAGGGGAACCCACAGCACCCAATGGGTGAGCACCCAGAGGGGTACCCACAGCACCCATCAACCACCGCCCACAGCACCCATGGGTGAGCACCCAGAGCACCCATGGGTGAGCACCCACAGGGGCACCCATAGCACCCAATGGGGTGAGCACCCATAGGGTGAGCACCCAGAGCACCCATCAACCACTGCCCACAGCACCCATGGGTGAGCAACCACAGCACCCATGGGGTGAGCACCCACAGGGGCACCCATAGCACCCATAGGGTGAGCACCCAGAGGGGCACCCAAAGCCCCACAGCACCCATGGGTGAGTAACCACAGCACCCATAGGGTGAGCACCCAGAGCACCCATCAACCACCCCGCACAGCACCCATGGGTGAGCAACCACAGCACCCATGGGGTGAGCACCCAGAGGGGAACCCACAGCACCCAATGGGGTGAGCACCCACAGCACCCATGGGGTGAGCACCCAGAGGGGAACCCACAGCACCCATGGGGTGAGCACCCAGAGGGGAACCCAAAGCCCCACAGCACCCATGGGTGAGCAACCACAGCACCCATGGGGTGAGCACCCAGAGGGGCACCCAAAGCCCCACAGCACCCATGGGTGAGCAACCACAGCACCCATAGGGTGAGCACCCAGAGGGGCACCCAAAGCCCCACAGCACCCATGGGTGAGCAACCACAGCACCCATGGGGTGAGCACCCAGAAGGGAACCCACAGCACCCATAGGGTGAGCACCCAGAGGGGCACCCAAAGCCCCACAGCACCCATGGGTGAGCAACCACAGCACCCATGGGGTGAGCACCCACAGGGGCACCCATAGCACCCATAGGGTGAGCACCCAGAGGGGCACCCAAAGCCCCACAGCACCCATGGGTGAGTAACCACAGCACCCATAGGGTGAGCACCCAGAGCACCCATCAACCACCGCCCACAGCACCCATGGGTGAGCAACCACAGCACCCATGGGGTGAGCACCCAGAGGGGAGGGAACCCATAGCACCCAATGGGTGAGCACCCACAGGGGCACCCAAAGCCCCACAGCACCCATGGGTGAGCAACCACAGCACCCATAGGGTGAGCACCCAGAGCACCCATCAACCACCGCCCACAGCACCCATGGGTGAGCAACCACAGCACCCATGGGGTGAGCACCCACAGGGGCACCCATAGCACCCATAGGGTGAGCACCCAGAGGGGCACCCAAAGCCCCACAGCACCCATGGGTGAGTAACCACAGCACCCATAGGGTGAGCACCCAGAGGGGAACCCATAGCACTCATAGGGTGAGCACCCACAGCACCCATGGGTGAGCACCCAGAGCACCCAATGGGGTGAGCACCCACAGCACCCATGGGTGAGCACCCAGAGCACCCAATGGGGTGAGCACCCACAGCACCCATGGGTGAGCACCCAGAGCACCCAATGGGGTGAGCACCCACAGCACCCATGGGTGAGCACCCAGAGCACCCAATGGGGTGAGCACCCACAGCACCCATGGGTGAGCACCCAGAGCACCCAATGGGGTGAGCACCCACAGCACCCATGGGTGAGCAACAACAGCACCCATCAACCACCCCCCACAGCACCCATTGGGTGAGCACCCAGGGGGGCACCCACAGCACCAATGGGTGAGCACCCAGAGGGAAACCCATAGCACCCAATGGGGTGAGCACCCACAGGGGAACCCCCAGCACCCATAGGGTGAGCACCCAGAGGGGCACCCATAGCACCCATGGGGGAGCCCAGAGCACCCAAAGGGTCCCCCAAGCCCTATGGGTGTCCCCCAGCACCCCATAGCACCCAAAGGGACCCCCAAGTACCCCCAAGACCCCATAGCATCCCTTGGGACCCCCAGAGCATCCCTTGGAACTCTTGGGTACCACAAGACCCCAGAGCATCCCCAATGACCCCAAAGCACCCAAAGGGTCCTCCCCAAGCCCCATGGGACCCCCAAGTACCCCAGAGCATCCCTTGGAACTCTTGGGTACCACAAGACCCCAGAGCATCCCCCATGACCCCAGAGCACCCAAAGGACCCTCCCAAGCCCCATGGGTGCCCCCCAACACCCCATAGCACCCCATGGGACCCCCAAGACCCCATAGCATCCCTTGGGACCCCCAGAGCATCCCTTGGGTCTCTCGGGTACCACAAGCCCCCCAGAGCATCCCTTGGGTACCACAAGCCCCCAGAGCATCCCTTGGGTACCACAAGCCCCCAGAGCATCCCCCATGACCCCAGAGCACCCAAAGGACCCTCCCAAGCCCCATGGGTGCCCCCCAACACCCCATAGCACCCCATGGGACCCCCAAGACCCCATAGCATCCCTTGGGACCCCCAGAGCATCCCTTGGGTCTCTTGGGTACCACAAGCCCCCCAGAGCATCCCTTGGGTACCAGAAGCCCCCAGAGCATCCCATGGGTACCACAAGCCCCCAGAGCATCCCATGGGTACCACAAGCTCCCAGAGCATCCCATGGGTACCACAAGCCTCCAGAGCATCCCTTGGGTACCACAAGCCTCCAGAGCATCCCTTGGGTACCACAAGCCCCCAGAGCATCCCTTGGCATCCCCAAGCCCCCAGAGCATCCCTTGGGTACCACAAGCCCCAAGAGCATCCCTTGGGTACCACAAGCTCCCAGAGCATCCCATGGGTACCACAAGCCTCCAGAGCATCCCTTGGGTACCACAAGCCCCCAGAGCATCCCTTGGGTACCACAAGCCTCCAGAGCATCCCTTGGGTACCACAAGCCCCCAGAGCATCCCTTGGGTACCACAAGCCCCAAGAGCATCCCTTGGGTACCACAAGCCCCCAGAGCATCCCCCACGCCCCCAGAGCACCCAAAGGACCCCCCCAAGCCCCATGGGACCCCCAAGTACCCCCAAGACCCCAGAGCATCCCTTGGCATCCCCAAGACCCCAGAGCATCCCTTGGGTCTCTTGGGTACCACAAGCCCCCAGAGCATCCCCCATGACCCCAGAGCACCCAAAGGTACCCCCAGAGCATCCCTTGGGTACCACAAGCCCCCAGAGCATCCCTTGGGTATCTTGGGTACCACAAGACCCCAGAGCATCCCTTGGGACCCCCAGAGCATCCCTTGGGACTCTTGGGTACCACAAGCCCCCAGAGCATCTCCCATGACCCCAGAGCACCCAAAGGGTCCCCCAAGCCCTATGGGTGCCCCCCAGCACCCCATGGGACCCCCAAGTACCCCCAAGACCCCAGAGCATCCCTTGGGACTCTTGGGTACCACAAGCCCCCAGAGCATCCCCCATGACCCCAGAGCATCCTTTGGGTACCACAAGCTCCCAGAGCATCCCTTGGGTACCACAAGCCCCCAGAGCATCCCCCATGACCCCAGAGCATCCCTTGGCATCCCCAAGCCCCCAGAGCATCCCTTGGGTACCAGAAGCCCCCAGAGCATCCCTTGGGTACCAGAAGCCACCAGAGCATCCCTTGGGTACCACAAGCTCCCAGAGCATCCCTTGGGTACCACAAGCCCCCAGAGCATCCCTTGGGTACCACAAGCCCCCAGAGCATCCCTTGGGTACCACAAGCCCCCAGAGCATCCCCAATGACCCCAAAGCCCCCAAAGGGACCCCCCCAAGCCCCCCATTGTCTCTCACCCGCCCCCTGCACGTGACCTCCTCGCCCTGCATGAGGCACGTGCCCAGGGCCACGTAGCCCTTGAGGCCCGAGACGGTTTCCTCGCTGCGCAGGGACACGGTCTTCATGCACGTCACGTGCTCCCACTCCTCCAGGTCGATCCTTGGGGGGGGGGAGGGGAGGGGGGGGGGTGGGGGGAGGGGTATTGGGATGGGGAGATGGGGATGGGATGGTGTGGGGGGGGATGGGGTCAGAATGGGGATGGGGATGGGGATGGGGTGGGAGGGGAGTGGGAATGGGGTGGGGTGGGGATGGGGATAGGGATGGGGTGGGAGGGGAGTGGGATGGAGTGGGGGTGGGGTGGGGATGGGTGGGGTGGGGGTGGGGGGGGGGGGATGGGGTGGGGGTGGTGGGGGTGGGTGGGGATATTGGGATGGGGAGATGGGGATGGGATGGGGTGGGGGTGG